GTAAGGCCAAGCAGATATTCTGGCAGGAAAGGAAGCTTCAATGAACTACCAAGGAGCTCCACAGCGCCGTGGTAGTTCATTGAAAACTACAAGCTGAGAGCCGCCAAGGCTGTCAGGACTTGTAGTTCATTCATTCACAGAAGTCCGTGAATGAATGATACAGCCGTGTGAGTCCAGCACGGCCACACAGTTTTAAAATTTGACAGATAGTATGGGAAGAAGTCTCTTCGTATTATCAGAGGGGGGGGGGGGGGGGGCAGCGGCTATGGGAACATGTTACATGTTCCACCCTAAAAACCGGGCAGAGCATGTAACATGTTCCCAAAGGTAAACTTCTCCTTTAAATGCATCTAAAACCAAACAGTTTTGGATGGAGTGGCAAGAAGTTAGGGTCCCTGTAAAGTTTTTATTGCTGTTCATATCCCTGCTGGGGAGAATCACTATTTCCCCAAGCATGGAAAGAAGATCCAAAATATTGAAATGACACTGGAACAGGGATAACGGGTAACTCTTAAAATGGCAACACCATTTTCTGGTGTAAACAGTCTAAAGGGGCACTGCATAACTTTGGAGACTTTTTTTCCCCACTTTCTCTTGTGTCTACAAAACAGAAGTGAAGGAACCTCTTCCCCAAATGGGACATAAACGGCAAACAAACTTAACAGGTGATTTAACCTGTTCCTGTCTGCTTAACATATATGTGTAATGGAAAAAGGGTGGGCTTTAACTCCCACACCCCGCACATATGCGTCAATGAGTGGCTGAGGTTTCTGTGCGGAGAACGTGTTCGCAGCACGCAGATCAAGCTGCTGAAGACAGATCTCCGTCACCAGCTCCTGATCATGTGACCAGCCAATGACAATAGTCACATGATTGCCAGTCACTCCTGTCCCCCAAAAGTTCAGGACCTTTTTTACACTGGGTTGGGCAGGGAGGGGCTAAACATTCCCTACACTGTCCAAAATAGAAAAACAAAATTGGCTTTAGGTATGATTCCATCTAAGTAGCCCTAGGCCACGTGCCTCGTTAGGCATGTCTATGCAAATACAGACTTCCAGAAAAGTGGTTATTTGCATAGAAACTCTGGGGAGTACAGCGCTTCTCACTATCCATCCACAACCTGGCTTTACACACTTATTACACTTTGATTTTTTTACATTTATAATAGACTATGCTTCCCATCACAACCTGAGTCTATTAATATGAAGAGCCCCTTCACAACCTGAGTCTAATAATATAAAGAACTTAGAAACTACATTTCTAATATTAGACATTTGAAGAATTCTAACAATAAACATTTTAATAAAACTATTCTTATTCTACATTGCTAGATATTTGGGGGGCTTTATATGTTCTAACTATTTAGTAAAGAGGTCAGTAAAAATGCAAATATCACAAAACGAGTTTTGATAAGTTCCGCAAGGTGCGATCTTTCCACGCCATTGTGGTTTTCTGTATAACACTGCTGGGTCATTCTTCTGACATCTAAGGCCCCATCCCACAAGCATCATACTGAAAGAGGGAGTTGATGGCATCACCCTTTCTTCTCTTGGGATCTTCCTTGTGATAAAGTCTATGGTTACCAGTGACCTTACAAGGCACAAGCAGATGGTCCCATTATGTAATGATGACAAATGATAATGAAGAATGGGCAGCCATGAACTAAGCACGCCTTTACTTGGTGCCAGGTAGGGAACTCTCTGTTGGCAATGGAAGAACAAAAACATCGAATTAAAAAAAAAGTGGTTTCCCACTCTTTTGCCTCTATCTGGGGTCTTCAAACGTTTCAGTATGGGAGCCACACTGTTTGCATGACAAAAAAATCCCCATGATACTCTCCCCTTACATGAGAAGTAGAGACCATAGGAAGCCCCTGTTGACCTTAAAGGATAGGTTCACCTTTCGTAACAGGTTACATGTTACACCCATATTCAGGGTGTAACATGTAACCTGTTACAAACAGACCGGCCCCTGCTCCCCTTTTTGATAGCTACCAGGGGATCTTCTCTCCCCTTACTGTCAAATTTAAAAACCAAAAAAAAAAACCCAGTCCTCTGTAAATGAGAGACTACAGGTCCCGACAGTCTTAGCGGCTGTTGGCTTGTAGCCCTCAATGAACTACCACGGCTCTGTGAAGCACCGTGGTAGTTCATTAATTCTTCCTGTCAGTATTTTCGCTTGCTCGTACATCCCGTACAGCACGGGTGTCGAACTGGCGGCCCTCCAGCTGTTGCCAAACTACAAGTCCCATGAGGCATTGCAAGACTGAAAGTTACAAGCATGACTCCCAAAGGCAGAAGCATGATGGGACATGTAGTTTCGCAACAGCTGGAGGGCCGCCAGTTTGACACCCCTGCCGTACAGGTCAGCAGATATACTGGCAGGTCTGCAGGAGACCTGCATGGCACCAGCAATCTGCTGATTGCTGGAGCAATGCTTTACAGGCTCCTGCAGACAAAAAATATTAAATGCACATTTTTGTTACCTGCAAAAAAATGCACTTTTTTTTTTACTAAAAGGTGAACTTATCCTTTAATCCTCACTCATTGCACATGGAGGATATACCAATGACCCTAGCTGGGGGCCCGGATAAAATCTTGTAATGGGCAGATGTGGTCTGCAATTTGGAGACCCCTGGCCTACATTAATCATTGCATGAGGCTGTTATAGGCTGGCCAGTGCTATATAATCAGATTCTGTTATTGATTGGCATAAACCACTCAAATGTCAAGGAATAGGATGAAAGTTGGACCCCACCCTCCCAGTACTATATAATCAGATGGTCACCTCAGAACATTCAGATGTCCTCAAACAGCAGCAGGATAACAAGTCAATGAAAAAGAAAACTATCAGCACCTGGGTGCAAAAAGTTATTGTCATGTGTATAAGAACTCACTTTGGGATAAGTGCCCTTTACTTGCCTTTGACATATACATTATATATGCTCAGAAATGTTGCTTCATTCACCTTTGAAAGCTTTCCAATGCCAAAACAGAGGAGGCCACCAGCCAAGGTAAAGATAGACTGGATGTGGTCACAGTGAAATATGTCAAACCATGGAACGGGCCTGATTTCTCAGCAGCTGCCAAATTTGTTGACAACAAAAATGCAACTCACTTCATAGACAGGCAACAAGGATTATGTACTGAATCGTACAAATCTAGGCAAACCAAGATGGCCGTCACCAAGGCATAATCCCAAGTAACGTGATAAGCACCTTCCTTTTACTGGTCCTGTAAGGAACATGATCCTGCGGTCTGAAAGTCTGGATTATGTGAGCGGAACCAACATGATTTATAACCAAACCACACTTTTGAATGTCATTGTCCGCAGTCTTAAAGCCTGACTGCCCATAATGTACTGATGAAGGCTAAATATTAACAAGAACCATCTCAAATATACCATTACCACACACTGTACCTCAGGATCAAATTACTTAAAAAAAAAAAATCAAACAAAATACAGATTACTGGAGAGATTCCATGATGGTAAAACACCCCATGAGTACGTGATTCATTGGGGAGAAAGTAAAGAAGTCACACACACGACGATGTGCGAAATCAGAACAGACAACAGTCCTACCTTCAGTAATCAGACTTGAGGTTTATGTTGTTTCCAAAAAAGGCCTTAATCTAAAAATACAGAGGTAGAATTTATACTTTTGTTGGGTTCCAGATGATTCCTTCAATGGGAAGTGGGTCTAAGGTGTCATTTTGTACTGTGCTGGAGAAGGGGTTCTATTTCCAGCCCCCATGTAAGGTGTAATCCCCACCAAAATGAACCTGTCAAGTTATTACTACTAGCTGTGGTTTTATTAGAGTGATTTCATCTCACTTGTCAGAGTGACAACGATCAAGAGAATTGACAGAAAATCTTCAACAGGGACACCGACCGATAAGGACACTCCCACCTCAACATCTTCAGGTAGGAGGACACCTTCTCTTGTTTGTGGATCACTAGCTGCCTTTCATCTCAGGCCTTGGGCTGCCAGGTACACTTGGCTCCAGAAGACTTGGTGGACTTGTCTTTAGTAAACAAACCCTAGTTGCAAAAAATGTGTTTGTCTAACAATTTGGCTGTGTCCTTCAATAAACAGAAGAAAAATGTTTTATTTTTTTTTTTTGTCGTTGGAGATTTTCCTTTACACCCTATCTGGTGAAACCATTTTTCACTGGACAGCAAGTGAGGTGAAATCGCTGTAATGGTACCATGGATAGCAATAACCAGACAGAGGTTCTACTCCTTGCACGTTCTAAAACTAAAATGTATAATCAGGTTTTCTCCAATTTGCACAACACTTTTTCTTCTAGAAATAGCCCATTGATATTTAAAAATTTTACATGGAAGGTGATTTACAAAAACTGCAGACAAGGAATGTAGAAATGTTGCTCATGGCAACTAGATTCCAGCTACCATTCTGCTAGCAGAGAAAATAAAAAGCTTACATTTAACTGGTTGCTTTGGGTGACACTTTTTCTCCCAGGTTTGGTCAGTAGGTCCCAGTGTGATGCAATATTATAGAAATCCATGCAGTGGTTAGTAGCAGAAGCCCCATGTTTGTCCCTTTGATAAGGGAAGGTAGGAATGTTAATTATTTACAGCATGATACAGAAGTGTTGTATAGTCAGGCATTATATTTATAAAAAAAGTGAGGTGTCCGTTAATATTTATACTTATTTATAAATAAGGAAGAGGTAGGGGAGCTGTCTTAGCACAGTGCTGCCCCAGGGGTAGTAGGAGTGAGTCAGAGCCATCATGCAGTGTGACACCCTTGAAGGAATCAGGATTGGGTGTATGGCGACAAGAAGTCAGTCAATAAGGTACAAGATGGACATCCTCCGTTACGATCACCGGCTTCCATTTGCCAGAAGATTATAAAAATGGCACAAACACGGACTGGCATCCAGGCCCATACAGGTGCGGGCTCACAGAGCAGCCTCTCCACATGGTCAAATGGCTGGGCACTCTATTTTCAGCCCTGCACACTCCAGGTTTCCATGCTAGGAGATCTTGCAGTTGCTTCTTGAGCAGTTCTGAGGGGGACTTTGGGGTGGCCGAATGGATTTGGATCGTTTTAGACTGTTACCTTTGCTCCCCCCACCGCTTCCTGCAGCCCCACCACCACCACCAGCCACAGAGTAGGAACGTCCATGCATCATCACAGCATTCATTCCGTTGGCCATGGAGAAGGATTTGAGGTGGCTCTTAATGGCCACTGGCAGAGGAAGCTTATCGATAAGATGGACTGGTGTGCAGGAGACAATAGATCGGCAGCACAGATCTTGCAGGCTGAATACTGGAGAAGAAAAACAACACACGTTAGAGATTCCACAAACATCAGGAGAGTATGAATCACAATTATATTGTCCATGTCACTGGCCACCTGTATTTTTCAGAATCTGTAGTGGACCATTTCTGAACTACAAATACCATCCACCTACACTACATCTGCAGAGTTACAGCAGCGGATGTAACCCGTCTCTGCACTGTCCCTCATCCTGTTCCCTCCAGATGTGGACCCCCATTGCTAAAACTATCCTTAGAGACCCATCTTCTAAGACAGCTCTCTCCATAATGGGCACAATAGTCCACAGCACACTTCATTTACAGATGTGAAAATAATTGTGATTATTGCTATTGGTGACCCGATCTAGCTGCCGGGTTATCTCTGGCTTCAATACGTTTTGGAGGCACTGACCCAGAATAGGCATGTAGCCAGTGAAGACAGATCTGCATACTTGTTCTAGTGACTCAAAAAGTCAGAATTACAAATAGACAGATCTGCATACTTGTTCTACTACTGTGACTCAAAAAGCACCAAGCACAAAGCATCAGCATTACACATACAGAGAAAGACCTTTGCAGATGGAACATCAGCAGTGGCAGCTCCCTTTTGTTCCCTCCTACCTCTGACAGCACATGGAACTTGTCATCAGTAATACCACATCCCACCTCTGACAGCACATGGAACTTGTCATTAGTAATAACACATCCCACCTCTGACAGCACATGGAAGTTGTCATTAGTAATAACACATCCCCCCTCTGACAGCACATGGAACTTGTCATTAGTAATAACACATCCCACCTCTGACAGCACATGGAACTTGTCATTAGTAATAACACATCCCACCTCTGACAGCACATGGAAGTTGTCATTAGTAATAACACATCCCAAGTGAAAAGAAAACTAGGAACCATAATGGTCTCTCCACTTATGTAATCAAACAGATGCAAAGCGAAGAGATGTTGAGTGTCACCACATGTAAAGGTCTCACACAATGTTAGGATGTCAACAGCCATGAAGTGTCACTAAAGACATATTTTTTTTTTTTTTTGATAAAGTAAGGGAGGGTTACACCCCATCAGATTTTTTTGCCATCTGTGTCCCATAGAGGAGATTTCCCTTCATACCACAAAAACAGGAAGTGAGAGGAAATCCTTCCAAAGTGAGTAAATCCTGGTGTGTCACCAGGGTCATTAGAATTGATGTCCCCATTGGAACCCAAAATTTGGGATTTTCGTTTACTTTCACTGTTGATAACCAGAGTGAGAATTACCAGTAACTCCTTTTCTATAAGTCTTCCAGGACAGCCCCTTGAGACATGGGGCTCCTCCCTTCGGGACAGGAAACACGTAAGCATAGTACTTTAAAAAGGCAGACCTCCAGGCCTCCCTCTTTAGTTTCACCCAAGAACCACAGGAAGACACTAAAAGACATAACCATTTATGCATAAACATATATTAATGTTCAACCTTATGGTGGGAAATCCCAGCTGTCCTGGAAGACTTATAGAAAAGGAGTTACCGGTAGTCTAACTCTGGTTTTCTCAAAATGTCTTCCAGGACAACCTCCTTGAGACGATAATCAAGAACCTACCCATTAGGGCAGGGCTACTGCCTGGAGGACTTTGCACCCAAATGCCTGATCTTTGCTAGAAAGCAGATCCAGTCGATAACGCTTCACAGAGGTAGAAAAGCTGGACCAGATGGCTGCCTTACAGATCTGTTCTGGCGAGGAACCGGCTCTCTCTGCCCAGGACGCTGACAAGGAGCGGGCTGAGTATGCATTAACAAACAGGGGCGGAATCTCTAATAAATTGTACAACTCTGCAATAGCCATCCTAATCCATTTAGCTATGGTGGATTTGGAAGCCTTGGAACCCTTCCGCACTCCTGCAAAAAGAACAAAGAGTCCAAATTTCTGAACTCTCTGGATCTACTAAGATAGGCCAAAAGGCTCCTTCTCACATCCAATAACTCAATCTTTTCTCTTGTTTGCGGGAGCAGAACAGAAGGTCGGCAAAATTATATCTTGAAACCTATGAAAGGAGGAGGAAACCTTGGGAAGAAACCCAGGATCAGTTTTGAAGCACAATTCTATCCTCGCAAACTGCCAAACAGCGCTCCCTACTAGAAAGCGCCTGCAATTCACTACCCCTACGGGCAAATGTGATTGCTACCAAAAATACAGTTTAGGGTTAAAAACTTTATAGAAGATTTCTCCAGAGGTTCAAAAGGGACAAAGGACCAAAGCTTTTAGAACCAAAAATAGATCCCAAACTGGATAGGACCTGACCGCCGCCAGCCTGGACTTAGAAGAGCCCTGAAAAAATCTGCTACAGAGGGATCTTGCTGGAGGGGGACCTGAAGGAAAACACTAAGGGCCAAGGCCTGCACCTATAAAGTGTTAACCAAAAGTCCCCATCCTGGAAGAAATCCAACACCGTAGGGATATCTGCAGGGCTCCGACCTCAACAACCAGGAGTTGAATCTCTTCCAGACTGCAGAATAAATAACGCTAGTAACTGGTTTGCGGCAGTTCACCAAAGTCCTAATTACTCTGTCAGAAAACCCCTGAACTTTCAGGAGTAGTTCTTCAGTAGCCACGCTGCCAACCTCAAGGTTCTTACCTGAGGGCACAGCACTGGACCCTGAGAGATCAGATCTTCCCTCTCTGGAAAGGGGAACCAAGGCCAGGCTCCACAGCAAAGAAAACCATGGCCTCTTTGGCCAGAACGGGGCCACCAGAATGAAGTTTGTCTTTTCTAGCAAAAACTTGCGCAGGACTGCTGGTATCGGCCTCACTGGAGGAAACGCATAACAGAGATTGAACTCCCACATGCTTGCGAATGCATCCACACCCAAAGCCTGATCTCATGGATTTAGGGAGAAGAACCAGCTGACCTTCCTGTTTTCCTGGGAAGCAGAGATCGGCCTCCATCATGCCCCACCTGAGAGTGATGGATCGCAAACACTTCCTGGTTGAGAGACCATTCATCATGTTTGACTGGATGCCAAATTCTTCAGGAAGTCTGCAAGTTTTGCTCGGCCCAAGATGGAATGCTGTCCATGATTGTATGAAGAGGAGGGCTTTGTGTACCCCCCTGCTTGTTGATGTATGCCACCGTAACCATATTGTCTGAACGGATCTGCAGGTGATGGTCAGTTAGCTCTGCCTGAAAGGCATCTAATGCTCGTTGGCCTGCTAGAAGCTCCCTTTGATTCAAGGATCTCTAAGCCTCCTCCACGGACCATGACCCCTGAGCAGCTCTGTTGCCCAGATGGGCTCCCCAACCAAAGCTGCTGGCATCAGTCGTAATGATAACCGGATAAGGAGTGTTCCACTCCAGACCCTTGGTCAGTTTGTATTGCTTCCGTCACCACCAAAGGGATCTCTTGATGCTGGACGGGAGCCAGGCTGCCAGATCCAAAGCAGATCTGTCCCCGTTCCAAACCCTCAGAAGAAAGGCCAACAGTGGCCGCTGGTGGAATCTTGCCCATGGGACAGCTGGGAAACATGATGTAATGAGACCCACTGCCCTCATGATGTCCTTTATTGTTGTGGACAAATTGCTCTGCAACCCTGCCAGCACCTGATCTATCCTGAGAAACTTTTCTCATGGAAGGAAGATCTTTCTCTCTGCCAAGGAAATCTCATACCCCAGATAGGCAAGTCTCTGGGAGGGAGCCAAGCATGACTTGTCCCTGTTTACAAGCCACCCCAGACTCTGAAGGAAGTCCTGAGCAACCTGCAGATCCTCTGTCAACTGTTGCTGAGACCTGGCCACAAAGAGGAGATCGTCCAGATGGGGAATGATCATAACAGACCTCATTCTTAGGGGAGTTAAGGTCTCCACAAGCACCTTCGTAAAAATTCTTGGTGCTTAGGCCAGACCAAAAGGTAGAGCCTGACACTGCCAGTGATGGATCTCTGAACCCATCCTTACCGCTATTTTTAGGTATTTCTGACATGCACGTTAAATGGAATGTGGACATAGGCATCCCTTAGATCCAGCGGAGCCATGAAGCAACCTGGGTAAAGGATGCTCCTTACAGAGAAGACAGATTCCATCCTGAAGTGTTTGTATTTTAAAGACATTTTGGGAGGGGGGGGGGCGCAGATAAGGCGAATAACTTGCCCGAAAACTTTTTCACAAAAAAAAAAAAAAAAAAAAAAAAAAAAAACCATGGGAATAACACCTCCTTCCCCTGCTCATTCCGGGAAACTCGAGTAAGGACCTGCTGATCTACCAGGACTCCAATTAGGCCACACAAAGGACTGTGCCTTTTCCCAATCCCTGGGAAGGTTGGTTACTAGATACCTGGCGGGGGGACTGGAGTCAAACTCTAGCCCAGCAATGGGCAAACTGCGGCCCGCGGGCCGTATACGGCCCGGCAGACCCTTTAATCCGGCCCGCGGAGCGTGCTAAAAGAAAAAAAAAAAAAAAAAACAGCCAGGGCAGGCAAACATTGGCTGTCAGGATGTGTGTAGGCGGGGCAGCGTGACGAACGTGAAGGGAGCTAGGCTCCTCTCACAGTCCGCCCTGAAGACCGGAACGGCGCGGGAACACGGCGAGAGGAACGCGCGGAGCAAAGGTAAGTGAATTGACACAGGGGGGACTTGTCTTACTACTTGGGGGGGGAATAGTACTGTGGGGGATGAATTAATATGGGGAATGAATTACTATATGGGGGATGAATTACTATCTACTCTTGGTCCGGACCCCGGGTCCAATATATGAACCCATTGCGGCCCTCAAGTCAAAAAGTTTGCCCACCCCTGCTCTAGCCTGTACTCTCTATCAAGTCCAGAATGTACAAGTTCGAGGGGATTGAAGCCCACCGAGGGAGAAAGGTCTCCAGTCTTCCTCCCACTGGGACGCTCAAGTCATTGATGGGGCAGGGCTCTGAGGAGGATTGAATAAGATCCCCCCCTTACCCTTGTTCTTGTGCCCTGTCCAATGTTTCTTGGGCTGAATATCCTTAATTTGCTGGACCTTCCTGGAGTAAAATCTCTTCATACTCCCAGGAAATGCCCTCTTTTTAATCGGCCGTACGCTCCAGAGCCTCCTCGAGACCTGGACTGAAAAGGTTTTTTGCTCGTAAAAGGTAAGGCACAAAGGCGCAGTTTGGACGCCGAGTCCCCTGCCCAGGTCTTTAACCATAATGTCCTTCTGGCTGAATTCACCAGGGCCGAAGTCCTCACAGCTAGCTTGACTGATTTGGCCGAGGCATACGCGAGAAAACCTACCGCTTTAAACAGCAAAGGAAAAGATTTTAGAATTTGCTGCCTGGAAGTCCATGCCGATAGATACATCTAACTGGGTAAGCCAGCACTCAAAATGTCTGGCGACACAGGTGGCCGATAAAGCCGGTTTAAAAGCAAATAGAGGCGGAATCCCAGGCCCTGCGGAGTAAGATTTCCCTTCTTTTATCCATAGGATCCTTTAGGGCCCCCATATCTTCAAATGCTAAGTCTGTCCTCTTAGAAACTTTAGATAGGGGGGCGTCCAACTTTGGAACTTTGTTCCATGGCTGGGATCCGTCGTCCTCAAAAAGGAAATCTCTTTTTTAGATTACCTGAAAAAAAGGGCTTCCTTTCAGGGTTTTTCCATTCCAGCTTAATGGTATCAGCCAGGGAACTATGGATTGGAAAAACCCTAGTCTTTTTTGCATGTAGACCCTGATACATGAGGTCATGCTTAGACAGACATATGTCCCCCTCCTCGATCTCTAAGGTTTCATAGATAGCCTTTAGGAGGTTGTTCACATCAAGGGCCAATTTGTACCTGGAACCTCTGGAGGCACAAGCTTCACAGTCATCCTTCTCTGAGCCCTAACCTGCCTGTGAGGAAGCAATGGACCTAGGATCTTCTTCCGGGTCCTCCTCCCTTCCTGATACTGCCATACTAGCCGACTGGGTCCAAGGCCCCAGAGGTGTCTGCATTTTATCCAACAGGGATCTAAAAGACTGAAACGCAGTTGTCATGTCATCCTTAATGGAGGTGAGAACCCTATGGCAAGCTGTAAATGATTGATCCTTAATTAGGCTATCCACACAATTTTGGCATAAGGGCTTTTCCCAAGCTGAACCCAATTTCGCCACACGAACTGCACACTTCTTCTTAGGGGCCCAACTCTGTGTCTTGTCCTGGGTTTTGACCTACAACAAGCAAAAAAAAAAACCACACAATACAGAAGATAATCAGCCCCAGGCTCCTCATCCAAACACCATTGTGCTGGGGAAGACAAATGGAAGTGTACCCCACCGTCACCTGCAACTTAGACTGAGGAAAAGAAAACCACCGCCCGGAATCAGCAAGAGGGAACCCCAAGTCCCCAAGCCTACCTGAGAGGAGTTGGTGCCTGAGGAACCAGGGTCTGCTTGCTGAGAGGGGCCAGCACCTTTCATCACGTCCCTTGTGGTGTGGTATCCACAGCCTCTGTTGGGTTTCTCACACCGCACCGACCGCCCGAGCTTGATGCCTGTGCCACGAATGGAGACCGGAACCAGAAGTCTCCCGGCACCCAACGTCACCGCGACCGGAACCTCTGGTGTTTGGAGCGCAGTTGCTCCACCCCCAGAAGTCGCAGCTAACTGCCCGCCTCGCTGTCCTCCTGCCTCCACTCCGCCGTGCAGTCTCGGCTCACCCTTGAGCTTCAATATAGGTTCCTTTGAACGTGCACTCATCTTTCCGGAGGAAACACTAAAAAACTGAAGAGGGAGGCCTGGAGGTACGCCTTTTTAAGTACTGTGCTTACATGTTTCCTGTCCCAGAGGGAGAAGCTCTATGTCTCAAGGGGGCTGTCCTGGAACACGTTTTGAGAAAATAATGGTAAATATGACAAAAGGAGAGGGTGAAGCTCTAATAGCGGCACAAACAACAAAAACCCGACAAGAAATCGAATCCCTATACACACTAAAAAAAAAAACAAACAAAAAAAAAAAAGTGTTGCCTTTATTGACACTTATTCTACATACAGAATCGGTCTACGACAGCAGCACAGAGCCATGTGTCCTATGAATGGTTTACAAAAGGATGTTGATATCCTACACTGAAGGCACATGAATTTAACTGCCACTGATTAGGAGCATGTTACACCCTAAATGCAGGTGTAACATGTTTCTGAAGGTGAACCTATCCTTAATGCATTTCGATGGCTAGTAATGCATCTGCATATAGTGTATTTTTTACCTTGTTGAATGACAAACATCTATATATTGTATTCTTAACCCTGGAGGACTGATGAGCCCCCCATACGGTGTTTAACACACTGTGTACAGAGGGTTCAGTAACAACAGTAAAAAAACAATTCTAACGAATAAACTAAACTAAAATACAATGACAAAAAAACAACACAATTTCTGGCCTAAATTAGAAAGTATGTTATGGATTATTAGAATTGTCCCATTAGCCATAAAGTTTCAGTTCCTACCACCATGTTTTTGTCCTCAGCATTAAACCATAACCACAAGATGTGTTCAATTTGCTCTTTTTCTAACACAGTCACCTTGTCACTTTCCCCCCTTGGCATAGGACACTCACCCCTGTTTGGCCTCCATATCTTTTCCATTCCATGCCTCATGAGCACTATTCGAGACAGTTCTGTAAAGGACTCTGTCACATTGAAGTTGCACAGCGGGCTGACCTCAAAAAAGGTCATACCGTTCTTCTCGGCATAGGCCCGAGCCTGTTCAGTGGGCACCTGCCGCTTGAAGGCCAAGTGCAGCCTATTTCCCACCAAGATACGAGGGACCCCTGGAGCATGCTGCAAAAAAGAAAAAGGCAAAATAAATTTTTTTCATTTTTTAAATGATCATTTAGAAAGGTGAAAACGTAAAAAAAGAACTACAAGTAACTGTAAACATCAGTAAGGATGTTAGGGTAAATCTCTAACAGCAACACAGTAGGTAATCATTTCTATTATCCCCATCTTTTTATGCTGGTCTGTATCTCATGTAAATGTACACTCACTTTCTGCCCGGTAAAAGTTATCACTGTGACAAAGTGACTGAAGATCTCTCCAAAAGAACAAAACTTTATTCAAAGCCGAACACTTTTGGCTTTCCAAAAAAAAAAAAAAAAAAAAAAAAAAGGAAGATCTGCATTTAACTTGAGGTTTCTATCATTCTGAATCTACTGATCCTTACAATTTTCACTGGATGTCTTTTATTCATATGTTCACTTTGAATTGTTTAGGGTTGTGACTACTGCTTTTAAAAAAAGACTAGACAAAGTTTAGCTCCGTTCACATATAGGCAATTTGAATCGCAAGCGCCGTGATTCTGCCCGCGATTTCAATACACGCTGTTAAAATGTCAAATTGCACATCAGCCTGTTCAGGTGCCAATCATTTCACTGGCACCTAAAAATGCAAGGTGATTCTGCCACAACAGATTGCGCAGCAATCGTGCAAACCAAATCGTGCAACGCGTATTGCCCGAAAGAAGTTCCGGAACTTCTTTTGGGCAATTTGGTTTGCTCGATTGCAGCTCGATTTGTCACATGCAGCAAAATCACCCTGGGTTTTTAAGTACCACTGAAATGAATGGCACCTGAACACGCCGCTGTGCGATTTGGCATTTTAACAGCACGTTTTTAAACTGAGGGCAGAATGGCAGCGATTCTGCCCACAATTCAAAACACCTATATGTGAATGGAGCCTAACAGAAGGAATAAAATATTTACCTTTGCTGTAGAAAATGCTGCTCCAGGCTCTTCCAGTGCTTGTCACATGACTGAAATCTAGGGATCAGATTACACCCCTGCTGGAAAGGACGATTGATCAATCTCAAATTTGATCCTCCCCTTCAGTAGAGTGATTACGCAGCCAGATTATGGAGAGAAAATTAAAGATTTCAGTGTTTCTATGACTTATTTAACTGTCCCAGCAAGACAGCTTTATAGGTTAGATGCACCAGATTGTAGACAACCCAACCCGGATTTATGACATTCTATGTGAGAGCGGTGAGGCTGGAGCATACAATCTGTGGCTACCACTCAGCATGATACCCAGAGCTACTGTTGAGCTGACCATGTTTAACCACTTGCCTACCGGGCACTTATACCCCCTTCTTTACTAGGCCAATTTTCAGCTTTCAGCGCTGTCGCACTTTGATTGACAATTGCGCGGTCATGCAAGATAGTACCCATATGAAATTTTTATCATTTTCTCACAAATAGAGCTTTCTTTTGGTGGTATTTAATCGCCGTTGGATGTTATATTTTTTGTGCTATAAACAACAAAAGAGCAAAATTTTGAAAAAAAAAATTCTTTGTTTCGGTTATAAAATTTTGCAAACAGGTAATTTTTTCTCCTTCACTGATGTGCGTTGATGAGGTGGCACTGATAGGCGGCACTGATAGGGCACTGATATGCAACAATGATGGGCACGGATAGGCTGATATGCAACAATGATGGGCACGGATAGGCGGCACTGATATGCAACAATGATGGGCACGGATAGGCGGCACTGATATGCAACAATGATGGGCACGGATAGGCGGCACTGATATGCAACAATGATGGGCACGGATAGGCGGCACGGATAGGCGGCTTTACTTTTTTGCGCTATAAATGAAAAATGTGCAAAAAAATTTGAAAAAAAAATTTTTTCTTTGTTTCTATTATAACATTTTTCAAACAGGTAATTTTTCTCCTTCACTGATGTGCGTTGATGAGGCAGCACTGATAGGCCGCACTGAAGGGCACTGATGGGCAGCACTAATGAGGCGTCACGGATAGGCGGCACACTGATAGCACTGTGGCACTGACTGGCAGCACTGCACTGATGAGGCGGCACTGACTGGCAGCACTGATAGGCGGCACTGACTGCACACTGATAGGCGGCACTGACTGGCAGCACTGATAGGCTGCACTGACTGGCAGCACTGATAGGCGGCACTGACTGGCAGCACTGATAGGCGGCACTGACTGGCAGCACTGATAGGCGGCACTGACTGGCAGCACTGATAGGCGGCACTGACTGGCAGCACTGACTGAGGCGCACTGCTGGGCACTGACTGGCAGCACTGACTGGGCACTGACTGGCAGCACTGCTGGGCACCGATCATCAGAGCACTGATCATCAGTGTCCTGATGATTAGTGCCGATTCCTGCTCTGACAACTGCCGGTTCTCGGCAGTACTTTCCTCACGCTCTGACAGCGTGAGGAAAGTGCAGCCGAGAACAGCAATTGCATTTCCCCGTGATCAGCGTGTCATTGGACACGGCTGATCACATGGTAAAAGGCCGCTGTGATTGGCCTTTAACCACATCACATGATCAGCTGTGTCCGTAGGACACAGCGATCACGGAGAACCCGGGGGCGCGTAGGAGAGCGCGTTCTAGGAGGACGTCATATGACGCCCTCCCAGAACTGTCCGGCCGCAGTGTAGCCGTCATTCGGCTATCTGCGATTGGCAAGTAGTTAAGAAGTACTTCAAGGAGATTACGGATATCAAAAACTCCTTTACTGCATGTTACAGAATATACAAAAGAACATTTACTATTTTTATAGCAATCTACCTTTGCTTTATTCTGTGTAGTAACAAAGGGAGCCTCATGAAGACCTTGGCTTCTTAGGCTCAATAAGTTGAACATCTAGGGTTCATCAATATTGCCATCTACTGATTCAGACTGGAATTGCAGCCTGAGAATCTACATAGACCATGTGTAGATCATCCAAGGACACCATGCTCTGAAAGGCTGGTCGTTTGTGGTGATGCTGCACTGGGATTGGGTGGAGTGCTCATTGTAGATGTAAACTGTACTTAAAGTTCAAATATTACTAGTCAAATATGGATCCTCACAAAAACAGCGCTTCACCCATTATGGCTATAACAATATACTAATAAAGATAACCATAACAGTAATTGTAAATTATGGTCATCAATAATTGAAATATCCTCCACCAAGTGTAGTAAAGTGCATAAAGAAAAGTCCACCACATAAATCCTTTTCAAGAGAAGTCTCTATGATAGAAGTTTGATTTGAGTTGATCCACTCCAACACCACCGTGTTTCCTGTGAGACATTCCCCCCATCAGATAACACACTCACCAGAACATGGTATTAATTAGGCAGAACATAAATCCTCCTCTTGGTCCCGCAATCTCCACCACAGAGAATGTGATCCAATCAATCCGATTCATAAATATAAAGCACAAACCACGCAGCATAGTTCTGTCTAAATGCTTTAATTACCATCCCCCATAAAATAACACTCACATTAGGATACCCTCTGAGGAAGTTGTGATGACGAAACACGTCAGGACGTGACCATACGTGACATCAGCACATTCATCTGATTTGACAACAACTCTTCTACTCGGAAGTGGTGCAGCGGGCTGTACACGGATGTGTGGGTGAGACGCCAGTCGGCCATTCCATACGGTGAAAAGTGCTTTATTGCTATTTCATGTGTTTACTATTTATCCTAATGTGAGTGTTATTTTATGGGGGATGGTAATTGAATAGAGCATTTAGACAGAATTACGACTTCCGGGTTCCCTTCCCTACAAGCACAGCGACGCAGGGGGGCGGAACCGCGGGAGATTAAAAAAAGTAAACAAAACATGGCATAAACACAATACATTGTAATCTGTTAGGATTACATTACTGTATCAAACCATTTCACCTCAGTTTTGTCCCGAGTGCTTTGTCCTGCGCCCTGCCTGCACTTTTACTGTTCTTTCTGCCTGTAAACTGAGAAATGTCCATGGTGTCCAAAAAGTGTCCCTTTAGGTCAAAAGCGGTTTAAGGCCAGCTAGAGAACAGCGATAGTAAATTAGAACCACTTGCAGAATTGAGCGATAATGATTTGTGGCGAAATGCATAATCAGATACTGAAAGTGACGACAGAGACAATTCTGCTACTGAGCTCAGTGATGTGCGGATTGAATGAAGTACGGATCAGGCAGAACCACCAAAAATTCCAATTACTGGAGCATCTAGTATGAAAGTAGACGTTGAACACGACAACCCCTTGGCATACTTAAAACAAAAAGTATACCACTCAGGCAAACAATCCAGATCAATCCACAACAGGTGCAGGCTCTGGCTCGCCACCACACACGATGCAATAGGAAAAAGGTTTAGCCGCACACCGGAGGATAGATGAATATAATGTGTGTATTTATTAATCCATAGGACACACAAAACACCAGGACATGAATACAGGACCTGTTAACGCGTTTCACCCAATCGCATGCTTAATTATGATTAAGCACAAGATCGTGTGAAACGCATTAAGAGGTCCTGGTGTTTTGTGTGTCCTATGGATTAATAAATACACACTATATTCATCTATCCTCCGGTGTTCAGCTGACCTTTCTCCCTAGGCATACTTACAATTATTTCTGGCAGATGAGGTTATTGAAAAAATTGTTACTGAGACAAACCGGTACCTAGAGCAACAATTGGCTACTCTGCATCAGAAGTTTCCAAGAAGCAGAAAGTGGGAACCAGCGACCAAAGATGACATTTGAATTACATTTATTATAGTATTTTTTATAACAATTATATTATAATTTTTGATTTTGGGATTCAATGTTTATCGTACCCAGGATGTTTACTAGACTCTTGTTTGGACAGATTTAAGTGAGTTATTCCTAAGAATTACAATATAAAACAACAAATTTCCATGAAAAACAATGTACCGCTTTGACATTCAAAAATATTGACAAAATCAGACAGCCAGGGAGGTTAATACCACGTTCCAGTGAGTGCGTTATCTGATGGGGGGGGAATGTCTCACAGGAAACATGGTGGTGTTGGAGTGGATCAACTTGAATCAAAGTTCTATCATAGAGACTTCTCCTGAAAAGGATTTATGTAATGGACTTTCCTTTATGCACTTTACTACGCTTGGTGGAGGATAATATTTCAATTATTGATGACCCTAATTTTAGATTCAATTACTGTTATGGTTTGTGGTTACCCTTGTTAGTATATTGTTATAGCCATAATGGGCAGCGCTGTTTTTGTGAGGATCCATATTTGCCTCCTAATATTTGATTGTTTTATTTAAACCAGCAGCTCACAAGGATTATTAGTCTATAGTTTTATTATTCACCAGTACAAAAGCACGTAGTTTTACTAAGAGATATTTTTTGTACTCAAAGTATAAAAATGGAACTTAGAATTCATAACTTTTAACAAAAGTTCACTTTAATATCAATAAGAATTAAAGAGGATAATATTCATGGCATTAAAGAAACACTGCTACCCTTGCCCATGTAAGGCAAGATAATAGCATTTCTGCAAATGTATCCCCCAATCGCTTTATACTCACCTTACCAGTGACATCCTCTGCAGTCATCCACAACACCCCAATAAGTATGAATGAACACGTGACCTCCTCCATGTGAGAGTGCTCGAGTCTAGGCTCCAGTACCGTCACATGACCAGGGCAGTGATGCCACTGCTCCTCCGGATCATCTTTACCAGCTGTTTGTGTCCAATCAGAAAGAAAGCAGCAAGGGAGCACTAGTAAGGCGAGCACAGGAAAGTCAGGACTTTCCAGAGACACGATCACCGTGCCTTGCATGGGCAAAGCAACAATGTAACTTAAAAACAAGAAGTGAAAGGGGGAAAGTTATGGTACTGGGCAGTCATTACTACCACCATTCAATCAATCTTCCAAATTAATTGTCACTGTTAGCCCATTATTTTACTGCAGCTCCAAGGAATATTACCTCATCTATCTCTTTGATCCATCGGTCAATTCCATCAAAGGACCACCGGTTGGTGATGTCATAAACAAGGAGGATCCCCTGGAAAACATGAAGTTAAATAAATGGCACACTTCAAAATCAAAACAAAAAGGCTCCAACACAATCATTTTGCTAGTATAATTATAGAACACACGGGAAATAGAACTTTACTGATTTATCTCAACTGATCTTGCTGGACAATATTTTCCTACCCATAAGGCCGCTTTCATTTGGGGTGGATTGTGATGGTGATCCGCTTGCTCTGTGGAGATCTGTCCACTGAGGAAGAAGATGACAGGTCCTTGTCTGCTCCGCTTATGCAGAGCGGACACAGTCCATTCTCCTCTATGGGCGGTCGGATGTAACAGCTGCCTGTTTACACCTGGCTGCCATCCGATCAGCTGGACGGGAGGAGAACAAATCCCCATCCACCTGTTTTGGGCCTATCAGATCGAATGTAGGTGGGTGTTAAAGGACATATGTCTGTTTACACCCGCCACTCCATAGGAGGAGGATCAAGGTTCTGATTGGGTGTGCCTGAAAAACGGATAGTCTTCACAGGACTGAGATTGAGCTATGCAGTCACTTCTGCAGCAGTTTTCTTATTCCCAGTTACAATCCTACACAATATCCTTTTGTCTTTCGGTCAGTTGACCAAGTCGACCGTTTATGTTCATCAGACGATGTTTTCCCAGAATCTGTATTAGCCATCATAATCTTTGATACTGTACCTCAAATGGCAAATAAAATTGGTAACTCCAGTCACAAAGGCACCAGCTAAGCGGCACCAACAATTTGTCCTCTTTGAAGCTCCGGAAGCTCTGACATGACTCTGTATTACTAGCAGCACATGCAGTGAATGACAAAAGGCTTCCCACCTGTTAACTGGGTGTCTCATCAGACAGCGGAAGCAAAAGAATATTACATCACTTCCGCTTTTATCGCAAAACATGTTGTCACTTTCACACCTGCAAATCATGTAGTGTTTCCATTTTTTGGTCTAACCCTTGTACATCTTTCAGCACAGGCTTTCTTCAAAGTGAACTGTGATTTGTCCAAGCAGACCATGCATGTAAAAAGGGTGCAGTTTGGTGAACCTGTTGCTTTAAGCACCAATACAGATATGTATTCATAAACACCAGTGGACACTGGAATTAAATGACACCAGTAAACAAAGATTTTGTTAATCTTTTCCTGGGGCTGTGTATGTGATCTTACCTGAGCTCCTCTAGAATAAGACCGAAAGATTGTGCAAAAAAACCTGCCTTGGCCAGAGGTGTCCCTGGTAAAGAAGAAAAAAAAAAAAAATCAGGTCAGAGGTGAGGAAAAAATGACAAACCTTTTGTAGTGCTGGTAGCAATGTAAAGTGGAACTCCAGCCACAACTGTAGTTTTCTGTTTTTACAGTAGGGCAGAGTTAAGTATATGTAAACCCTCACCTTGTAAAACAACTCATTCTGTTTAAAATAGAAATGAAAAAACATTTGTATATAGATATTAAAACACACACACTATAAATACCTTTGCTACCTCCCTCTGCCTTTTTTTTTTTTTTATTGTGATCACTTTCCCTCTGTTCTCAGCTGCATACAGAGGTAAGGGTGGAGAAGCAGCAAGCAAGCTGATCTTCCCAGTGAATAGCTGTGCAGGGAGGGGGGGGTGTCAATACAAGTGTGATCATTGAAAGAGAGCAGGCACACTCACCAGCACACTCACCACGCTGTGCTCTCATGCCTAGTGTGCTCAGTTTTAATAAGAAAGCAGAGGTACTGGCAGGGATACCAAAGATTTCACACAAAGGGAAGCACTACAAAGAGAACAGGATACTTTTTTTTTTTATACAAGTACATGGTACAGTAGGAACATAAATCGGAAATATGAAATGTTGGGTTGACATATTCTTTAAAACCTCTGTCAAAGAGCAAAGGCAGCTTTATTGGTCACACTCCTGGTTTGGCCTTTCCACTGGTTTAGCAATTTTTGGAAAGTCGTGATCATATCGGTACAATAATGTATTTTCTCTCAGGAAATTATGTGGCTCTTTTTATTAGCTTCGAATGCATCCTGCTGAACTGCTCTTCCTAAGCATTATTTAGATATATATAGATGTCCCCTCCATATATATATATATATATATATATATATATATATATGTATATATATATGTATACCCTCCCTCCTAGATTGTAAGCTCCCAGGATCACGTCCCTCCTTTCCCTCTTGTATTGAACTGTATTGTTGCTGTACTGTCTCCCTTTATATTGTAAACCGCTGAGCAAACTGTTGGCGCTATTTAAATCCTGTATAATAATAATAAAAAATGTTCTACTTTTATTGCAAGATATTTTGAGCTTACTTCACAATGTGCCTTCAGTAGTTTCCAGCAGCCTATGTCTGAACGAAGCAGCCCATTCATTCCTATGGGAAGCACAGTGGCTAAATGGTTAGCACTTCCACCTGGCAGTACTCGGGTCATTGGTTCGAATCCCAGCCACGGCACCACCTGCCTGGAGTTTGCATGTTCTCCCTGTGCCTGCGTGGGTTTCCTCTGGGTACTGCGGTTTCCTCCCACACTCCAAAGACATGCTGGTAGGTGAATTGGATCCTGTCTAAATTGGCCCTAATATGTGTATGTATGAATGTGAGTCAGAGAGCATAGATTGTATGCCCCTTGAGGGTTAGGGACGGATGTGAATGTACTATGTGTGTGTGTGTGTGTGTGTGTGTGTGTGTGTGTGTGTGTGTGTGTGTAAAGCGCTGCGTAAATGGATGGCGCTATATAAGTACCTGAAATAAATATTGCTGTATACTGCAATGTATTGTTAATTGTACAGTATTATGAGGTTTCCTCTGGCTTGTATATCGGGACTTTTCCAATAAAGCCTTCTTTTGTGGAAAAACCTTGTCGCCAAGTGATCTGGTGGACAGGTCTTCTCTATTACACCTCCCTAGACTAAAGGAGTATCATACCCTGCCGATACAGGTGTGGGAGGAATTGCTCACATCTCTGCACCATGGAGGGAGCACAATTTTACCTGCTGTTGGGTCTTTACTGCTTGTGACCCCGCTACTGAGATCTCCATCCTTATAGTGACAGTCAGGGCTCTGCTTTGAGCTGAACTGCCAGGCTCATCTCACCCAAACACATTCTCTATTAATTCCTACCAAGAATTTGCTGGGGAATGGAGGGAATGACAGCATTATAGGTATAAGGAAAGAGCCCTCTACTGGAATTCAGGTGCCAACACATGGAGCAGGATGGTTTGCCATGAAGGCACCTTGTGGATGTCGGAGATTAACAAAAGTTCACGGGGAGGTTTGAATGGCTGCCACCAGAGTCATTGGAAGGTCCTTAACCCCCTTCACGCCTAAGGGTAAAACAAATCTAAATGCCTAAGCACAATTTTGCAACGTTGACAACCGTCCATATCACCATAACTACTTTGTACATCCAGGTAGATTATACCTTCTTTTTTTTTCCCAGGACAAATTGGGCTTTCATTTGGTGGTAAATGGTAATGGATGTCTCCTGATTTTTTTTTTTTATTATCAAAAGGAAACCTGGCTAAAAATAGTAAAAAAAAAAATAAAAAAATTATTTTTTAATTCAGCTGTGTGTCATTACCATAACCTACTACCAAAGAACAACCCAAAATAAATTTTCCAGCTCTTGACGATCACAGCGATACCATGTATGTGTATGTTATATGTTCCCGTAGTACAGCCCAGAAGCAATAGTGCACTTTTTTTTTTTTTTTAAATCCTGACCTTTGACCCTGACCTTGACCAAAACACTTACCCTGGCACTGAAATAGATAAACTTTCATCTAGGTATTTTCGCTTTAGATTTATCTTTCTTTTTTTTTTTTTTATACAAACATTTCCCCCCCCCTCTCTCTCTCGGTCTCTCTCTCTCGGTCTCTCTCTCTCGGTCTCTCTCTCTCTCGGTCTCTCTCTCTCCTCTCTCTCGGTCTCTCTCTCTTCGGTCTCTCTCTCTCGGTCTCGATCTCTCGGTCTCGATCTCTCGGTCTCGATCTCTCGATCGATCTCTCGGTCTCGATCTCTCGATCGATCTCTCGATCGATCTCTCTGCATCGATCTCGATCTCTCTCTCTCTCTCTCGATCTCTCTCTCTCTCTCGATCTCTGGACTCTCTCTCTCTCTCTCTCGATCTCTCTCATCTCTCGATCTCTCTCTCTCTCGATCTCTCTCTCTCTCGATCTCTCTCTCGATCTCTCTCTCTCTCGATCTCTCTCTCTCTCGATCTCTCCTCTCTCTCGATCTCTCTCTCTCTCGATCTCTCTCTCTCTCGATCTCTCTCTCTCTCGATCTCTCTCTCTCTCTCGATCTCTCTCTCTCTCGATCTCTCTCTCTCTCGATCTCTCGATCTCTCGATCTCTCTCTCTCTCGATCTCTCTCTCTCTCGATCTCTCGATCCTCCTCGATCTCTCGATCTCGATCTCTCGATCCTCCTCGATCTCTCGATCTCCTTCTCGATCCTCTCTCTCTCTCTCGATCTCTCTCTCTCTCTCGATCTCTCTCTCTCTCTCTCTCGATCTCTCTCTCTCTCTCTCGATCTCTCTCTCTCTCCTCGATCTCTCTCTCCTCTCGATCTCTCTCTCTCTCGATCTCTCCTCCTCTCTCTCTCTCTCTCTCTCTCCTCTCTCTCTCTCTCTCTCGATCCTCTCTCTCTCTCTCGAAAACTCTCTCTCTCTCGATCTCTCTCTCTCTCTCCTCTCTCTCTCTCTCTCTCCGATCTCTCCTCTCTCTCTCTCTCTCTCCTCTCCTCTCTCTCTCTCTCTCTCTCTCTCTCTCTCTCTCTCTCTCTCTCTCTCTCTCCTTCTCTCTCTCTCTCTCTCTCTCTCTCCCTCTCCTCTCTCTCTCTCTCTCCTCATCTCTCTCTCTCCTCCTCCTCTCTCTCTCTCTCGATCTCTCTCTCTCTCGATCTCTCTCTCTCTCTCTCGATCCTTCTCTCTCTCCTCTCTCCTCTCTCTCTCTCTCTCTCCTCCTCGAATCTCTCTCTCTCTCCTCGATCTCTCTCCTCGATCTCTCTCTCTCGATCTCTCTCTCTCTCTCTCTCGATCTCTCTCTCTCTCTCTCTCGAATCTCTCTCTCGATCTCTCTCTCGATCTCTCTCTCTCTCTCTCCTCTCTCTCTCTCTCTCTCGATCTCTCTCTCTCTCTCTCTCGATCCTCTCTCTCTCTCCTCGATCTCTCTCTCTCTCTCTCTCGAAATCCTCTCTCTCTCTCTCTCTCTCTCTCTCTCTCTCTCTCTCTCTCTCTCTCTCTCGATCTCTCTCTCTCTCCTCTCCGACTCTCTCTCTCGAATCTCTCCTCTCTCTCTCTCGATCTCTCTCTCTCTTTCTCTCGATCTCTCTCTCTCGAATCTCTCTCTCTCTCTCTCTCTCTCGATCTCTCTCTCTCTCTCTCCGATCTCTCTCTCTCTCTCTCGATCTCCTCCTCTCTCTCTCTCTCTCCTCCTCTCTCTCCTCTCCTCTCTCTCTCTCTCTCTCTCGATCTCTCTATCTCTCTCTCTCGACTCTCTCTATCTCTCTCGATCTCTCTCTCTCTGATCTCTCTCTCCTCTCGATCTCCGATCTCTCTCTCTCTCTCTCGATCTCCTCTCTCTCTCCTCTCTCGATCTCTCTCTCTCTCTCTCTCGAATCTCTCTCCTCTCTCTCTCGATCTCTCTCTCTCTCTCTCTCTGATCTCTCTCTCTCTCTCGAATCCTCCTCTCTCTCGATCTCTCCTCTCTCTCTCGATTCTCTCTCTCTCTCTCTCCTCTCTCTCTCTCTCTCTCTCCTCGATCTCTCTCTCTCCTCTCTTCGATCTCTCTCTCTCTCTCTCGAATCTCTCTCTCTCTCTCGATCTCTCTCTCTCTCTCTCGATCTCTCTCTCTCTCTCTCTCTCCTCTCGATCTCTCCTCGAATCTCTCTCTCGATCTCTCTTCTCTCTCTCTCTCTCTCTCTCTCGATCTCTCTCTCTCTCTCTCGATCTCTCTCTCGATCTCTCTCTCGATCTCTCTCTCGATCTCTCTCTCGATCTCTCTCTCGATCTCTCTCTCTCTCGATCTCTCTCTCTCTCTCTCCTCTCTCTCTCTCCTCTCGATCTCTCTCTCTCCTCTCTCTCTCTCTCTCTCTCTCTCTCTCTCTCGATCTCTCTCTCTCTCTCCTCTCTCTCTCTCTCTCTCTCTCGATCTCTCTCTCTCTCTCGATCTCTCTCTCGATCTCTCTCTCGATCTCTCTCTCTCTCGATCTCTCTCTCTCTCGATCCTCTCTCTCTC